GCTTTGTTTGCTGTACATAACTCCGGACGTACACGCGCGGACGTACACGCGCAACAATTTGCGGTTGCTGACCGACTTCGAATTGTCGATGAAGAACATGCGCCTTAAGATTGATGGCCCCCAACGTTGTGTTCTCCTGCCGCGACAGTTGCCACACGTGCAGCGCGCAGCAGACGAAGCAGATAATCGAAAAAGCGACGCGCGGACTAGATACGTCACGAAAACTTGCGCGTGGCGATACTACCGTTTGATGGCGCTGATTATACCAAGTCGTGACGTCTGGGTGCAGTAGGAACCAAAACTAGCTTTTAAAAACATGCTGTAATTGATTTTAATGGGTGCGCTCACGCTGACCGATACGTTTCCTACGCTCTCGGGGGCATGGGCTCTCATTTCACGCAAGAAAATGATAGGTGAAAATTTTAGTTTGGGCACCACTTTAAAGTGCTGTGCCAATGCATTTGGTAGATCTTTCGCCATGCCAATCTAACGTTACTAGGCGGTCCCGTTTTGCCAAAGTACCAATCGTGAACATATCAGTATACGATCATGTGGAAAACGTTTCAATTAGTGCAGGTAAAGCTAAGTTTTAATGTACATAATATCTTCGAGAACGTTTATTTATAACTTCAACTTGACGGTGTTTGCAAGTTTTACAACTTGAACGTGATCAAGCTGTTATGTAAACAGTGGAATGAGGGGTTACCTTTTCATCCAGGGAGATCTACTTAAAATTTCTATAGCGGCTTTATACGACGTTTGGCACTTGGGAAACGCTTTTCTGAAACTATAATTGCTTGTTAACATTGGGTAATAGTAGAAAAAGTTATTAGGTGTTCAAGCACTTTTGATTATATGGTTATAAATGCTGGTGGATGGTTGGGTTGTGGCACGGGGCTCTCTAGCTAGCGTTGGTCTTCAATCTAAATTACGGGCTTCGTTGTAGCCCTTGTTTAGAGCGTCGCGTGGTTAATTTTTTTAGCTACTGTTTCCTTTAGGTTGCCGAAGTGGTGAACGTAGTCACCGTCGTCACTACAAATCTTTTTACACACCTCCCATGTACAACAAAATCCCCCTTTTTCAGTGTTGTGGGTGGGGACTAGTCTAATCTAAGTTTTGTTTGCCATATGTTAGCTATTTTGTAGCGGCGTTCTCATTTTTCTTCTTTGAATAGATGCCATCGCGTATTGGAAGGTCATTTCTTCTAAATAATAGTGCCTAGTAAGTGCAAGAATGGAGTGAAACTTGTTACAGTGGTCAATGAATGTGTTTAATGCGCTTACGTCATGTTCAATTATAAATAATATATCGTCTATATTATGGCAATGGGTGGAAGGCTTTTCTGTGGATAAATTTAGCAGCTTTGATAAGAGCTGTAAGACACTGCAACACATGATTGATGTAACCTTAGGAGACACGGAGAGAGCAGAGTGGGTCTGGGAATAAACATGTGAGAATGATATCAGTTGAAATGAAAAAGAAAAAAATAGGCATGCCTGGGGTGGTTGGCACGTAGACAGGCAAACACGGGTCATTAAGGGCAACGGAATAAGTTCCAAGAGAGCGCAAACACGCGAGGCGCAGGCAGAAATCTGTGTAGGCACATGAGATTAGGGTGTTTGTGAGTGCAACGTGGCAGCAAGAAGTGCAGGGACGGCTAGTATGATGGAGCGTGGGAGGGGGCATTTGCCGTGCAGTGGGCGTAGTCACGCTTATGATGATGATGATGATCATTACCTGTACGCATTGGCATTCTCATGCGCTGACGGATTGTTGCCAAGCCTAGATAGCGTATTTTAAGAAATGATTTCACCTAGGTACGCAAATCATGGCTGCCAGGTCCCCAAGTTATATAAATATATATATATATATATATATATATATATATATATATATATATATATATATATATATATATATATATATGAGATCTAACAGACAGTAATGCCAATGAATGTACAGGGGAAGTTATTAGAACCAATGGAATGTAAAGAAGAAGAAAGAAAAGTGGATGAAAAAATAACCAGCCGTGGGCAGGAATCGAACCTAATCAGCTGCCCGCTCATAATAAGTTCACGTGCTACGTGACGCCAAAAATGCGCATAAGAGTGTTTTCACACTCGCCGTTTGGCTTATAGATGGCGCTGACTGTCAATCCTACTTCTAAATTCACATATAAACCCAAAAAATTGGATGCAGGGAAGGCCGCTGTGGTAGCTCAGTAGTTAGAGCATCGAACGCGTTATTCAAAGGTCGGAGGTTCGATTCCTCGCCACGGCTGGTTATTTTTTCATCCACTTTTCTTTTTTCCTATTTACATTCCATTGGTTCTAATAACTTCCCCTGTACATTCCTTGGCATTACTCTCTGTTAGATCTCATTAATATTGTGTTAAAACACGGAAAAACGAGCCCTTAAGTATACACTCCTTTCCCTTATTTCATTGAACGAGGGTCTCGAAATGGCAGACTTGCTGTGTTTAGGTTATATAAGAGGGACAATTAATCAGCTGCCCGCTCATAATAAGTGTACGTGCTACGTGACGCCAAACATGCGCATAAGAGTGTTTTCGCACTCGCCGTTTGGCTTATAGATGGCGCTGCTGTCACTCCTACTTCTAATTTCACATCTAAACCCAAAAAAGTGGATGGAGGGAAGGCCGCTGTGGTAGCTCAGTGTTTAGAGCATCGAACGCGTTATTTGAAGGTCATATGTTCGATTCCTGCCCACGGTTGGTTATTATTTTATCCACTTTTCTTTCTTCTTATTTACAATTCATTGGTTCTAATAACTTCCCTTGTACATTCCTTGGCATTACTGTCTGTTAGATCTCAATAATATTGTGGTAAAACACGAAAAAACGAGCCCCTAGGTATACACTTCTTTCCCTTATATATATATATATATATATATATATATATATATATATATATATATATATATATAACAAACGAGCTCTTTCGCGTAACCTTTTCGACAATTATTAAATATGATGTCCGCTGGAAAGGCATCTTTCATCAGTAGGCTGTTTTTGTGAATGGGCACCTCCAGAAATACTGAGTTCAAATCATTATCAGTAGTTCATCACAGCCAATGCTATTATTTTGGCTCTAAAACCTTCTTCTCACTACAGTAGATATAACCGTTGACGAATTGTGGCGGGTACTTTGGCATAAAGGCCATTTATGTACCGAAATGATAAATGTGGTGATGCAAGTTTTTGCGCAACATCACCAGGAGGCATGGACACTTTGAATAGATAAAAATGGCTGGAAATCTGTGTGCTCATAATCCAAGAATTACAAGATATTTTTTGCTCAGGTGCAACTTGCGGATCAAAATTTTTTGCTTGTGACCACGTGCAGAGTAAAAACATTTACTAGCAATAACAACCTACGTTTCTGTAGTAATAGTAATAAAGGAAGAATAAACGCCATTTATTAGGTATTTCTAGGTGCCACAAATTGATTTTTTAGGGGCGAAGCTCCTTAGGGCGTGGGCTGTGCGTCCCCTGTAGCCTGTATGTAGCCACCTCAAGTTTAGTTCTTGCAGTGTTCACTAGATGGCGGTACCGTCCCCTGTATGTAGTCACCTCTAGTTTAGTTCTTGCAGTGTTCACTAGATGGCGGTACCGTCTCCTGTATGTAGCCACCTCTCGTTTAGTTCTTGTAGTGTTTACTAGATGGTGGTACTTGTAGCTGATGATGAAAAGATGCAAGATGTTATAAACTAGAAAGCGGTACTTGTAGTTGATGAAAGACGCGAGATCTTATAAAATAGGAATGATGTCACATATGGCGCGTGTCATTGGTTGAAGGCAATCGTTCGATTTAGTGCGGCGACGTACGCTAGGGGGAGCGTTGTAATAAAATCCGTTCGCCGTTGGCGCGCGCTCGGAGTCGCCGGATGGATAAGGCTGCACAGCGGAGAGAGCACAAGGCGGCAGCAGCGCGCGCTCGCAGACAGAATCCCTATGTGCGAGCGCGCGAGGCAAGGGACATCGCAAGCCATCCATCGTCTAAGAACAAATAAAAGTTGATTTGTGTATATACACACACAGCGTTTCTCACGTCTTTACATGATGATCGACTGGGCGAATTACACGGAAGATTCACAGTTTACCGATGAATCCCTCCGGAGCTTCGCCCATTCATCATCATTCACCTAGTGAATATGCCGTAATTTTTTTAATAAGAACCACTTTGATGAAACCTCAAAGTTTATCCGAAACGTTTTTAGCACTTTTTTACTTTTAACGCTTGCGCATAGTTTTTATTGTAATTTAAGTTGAAAGCACCTTGTGTGTATCACATCAGCAGCTAAGTTTTGTTATTCAAGTGCTGAAGTTTCGGAAGCAATTTCGTCCCAAGATTGTCCTGTGCTAATGTGGATACTGCGTTTGATGGTTTGATGTACTTGTTCACGTGCTAGTGTTCCAGTGAGAATGTCTTTGGACATGGAACTTCATTTTATGCATGAATTAGCTCATGAAAAGCCTAAGTGTAGCCGGTGTCTTGTTTAAGTTCTATATGTTGTAATACTAAATAAGCATGAGAAGTGCCGGTAAACACAATGAATCTTACTTCTTTGAGTGAGCAAGTGCACACCATGAAGAAAAGTAAACACCACATCACGCATATTTATATTTTTGTATTTATGGTTATGTTTGAATTGGCAACTGCAAAACTGCTGCAGAATTCAGCCTGATTGAACTTTTTCAGATTACTACTTGGACTTTCGCATGCACGAAACCAATACATTATCAACGCAGTCGACGGAGCTGTGTATCTGTGGCACAGGGCACATCTCTAACATTTTATCATAGAAAACAGTCATTTTTTGTCTCTGTGCTAAGGCTGATAATACAAGACGTTTTTCATAATGAAGTAATTGGGTCCCTAAATGGACAGAGCAGCAAGATTAAATAACAAATAGGAAACCATTGGAGTTCACTATGCACAAGCAGTTCTGAAACTTGTACTGAGCGGGAAGGGCACTGCTCAGCTTGAGACGCCCGATGAAAGCTGGAAAGTTTAGCACGATATAGTCTATAACCATTTATGAATCACCAAAAGCCTATTCTGGCTACACCAATTGAAAAATAAGGCGCGGTAGACACAAGCACCATACAACGCCAGCACTGACGCACTCACCCGCTTGTTGTATTCTACTATGGGCGGTAACGCAAGCTCAGCGACTGATTCTTCGTCGCCTGGTGACAAATGCACGTCGCAGTACTGGCCGCGCACTTTCATTGTCCCATACTCATCTAGCACCACGGTCTCGATGCACTCGTCGTAGGCGCCGAGGTCGGCAAATGTACCTTGAAAGAAGCCAGAGGGGTACTTGCCAGTAGCGTCGATAACTATAGGGAAAAAAAAAGAGGTAATTCGCCTCCATTCCACACCGTTAAAGTTGACATTCAGATATATATCTACACAAGTACCGCCGGCCCTACTGACGTTATGCAAGAAAAGTTGACTGATTTGTGGGGTTTAACGTCCCAAAACCACGATATGAGTATGAGAGACGCCGTAGTGAAGGGCTCCGGAAATTTTGAGCACCTTGGGTTCTCTAACATGCACCCAAATCTGAGCACACGGGCCTACAACAATTCCGCTTCCATCGGAAATGCAGCCGCCGCAGCCGGGATTCGAACCCGCGCCCTGCGGGTCAGCAGCCGAGTACCTTAGCCACTAGACCACCGCGGCGGGGCATGCAAGAAGAGTTCTACCGAATCAACAGATGTTAGAGAACTGTCATCATAACAGCCGTTGAAGTAAATAAAATTGACATGAAAGGAAAAAGGTAAATGTCATGCTGGTTAATCCTAAATAATTTTTCCGAACTAAAATTACTCGCGCCTCGAGGAAACGCTTGGTTATTGAAGAAATGCCTAAAACAAAGGGAAAAAAGCCGCGCAATGTTCAACTTTTCGCACCAAGCTTCGTGACTCTATGTAATATGTTATTTTTTTAAATGCCTGTGCTGTTCCTAATCAGTGAAATCAATATACATTGTTGTCTATGTGGGGCAGAGGCTTCATGTTCGATATATCAGGAAATTTCTCTGAGCCAATATCGCAAAAATAAAACGAAGAATCTTCTGTATCCGTGAAATCACGCTGACATATATAGGTGTGCGGAAATTTTCGCTAGAAATATGAAAATGATTCTTTATTCTTCATTTGCTGTGCTATTATAAAAGTTGTTGTGCTGAAGTAATCAACACCAAACTTTTCAAACTGTTTTTTCTCAGGTTCATTTGATTAACTGTTTCACTTTAGGATTCAATCATGTTAGGCTCAGCTCAGTGACGCTGATTGCTCACGTTCATTACAGAACAATTGTTGGCGCTCTTTATTGTACTTATTAAACAAGCGAACGAGACCAAAATCTCGTGTTTTTTCTTGTTCAAATGAGGCATTGTGTTCCCGTAAAATTTTTAATGTCTAGTTTGGCTCTTTGTTGAATTATGTCACCTGCAAAGATTAACATTCTGCCGCGTGTGGCACATATACAAGGTCAGAGTATACGGATTTACACCAGAGGGGATAGATGGGCAAGAGGTTAAAGGGCCCATTACACTCGCTTTTTGAGCTTAATCTGTTTTATGTGGCTTAATACTTCTTAATTCACAAGTATACTGTTGGAATTTTAACGCCTTCGGTCAACTTTTCATTCATAAAATAAATATTTTATAAATACACGTGCTGGGCGAGAGTCGGGCCATACTTGCTCACTCTCGAGCCATGATGTAACAAGCAACCGGTGTGCGAGAGTCTGTATTCCGGAGAACAATATTGTTCTGTGATCAGCTGCGCATGAGTAAAAACAAGATAATTTATCTTTCTTCTACTTGGTACTAAAATTGAGCGATTTTTGGCAGCTGAAATTTTGGTAGAAGAAAACGATTTTGCTCCCTCCAGCCCGTAATATCACACGCAAATTGGCTGTCGTTGGTAGTGGGTGTGGTTTACATCTGAGGATAAATATGACTTTCTTTTCCCTGAAATATCCTTTTACGGTGCGACTTTCTTGTCTGCGTAAGCACGGGAGATGCTCTACTGAAGGTTTTTGTTGAAAACCGCTAATTGTTGGGTGAGCGTTTCAGGCCCCCTTTAATATTTGGTAACTTTATTGGCATCACAGTGAAGTCAACCTCTTTCACCGCTGTCAGCTGCTATTTACAATACATATGCGTGTATACTGTTGCTCTTTCACCTTCAATTTGAAAGGTAGGAGGATATTTCATGTTTATGATTCGTTTTACGTCAGAATGCAGCGAAATTTCTCAGTGAAGTCGAGCCTCTCTGCATACGGAATGAACTAACTCAAAACTATGTAGCTCTATGTTAAGGAAAGCATCGGGTGTACAAATTGTAGCTAGGCATCAGCCTATCTTATGTGTCAACGGGCTTCTTGCCATGAGCTCTAAGCGATCATTTTGCGCACAAGGTAACCCCATTTTATGTCTCCAATTTTTTAAATTTTGCAGCGGCACCTAAGTCCTTGGCGTATTCGGCAATCCCTTGCAGTCATGAGCATCAATAAAATTTTTCAGATGAAGAAGCACCAGCAGTTTTTATTATTCCCTTCAAATAAATAATACAATAACACGCCTTTATGCAGCGTAACCTTTGAGATAGTTTTTATAATAGTGGAACAAGAAATATTGTATACGAAAAAATGAGGTTTTTCACCTGATCACTCGGTAAAACCTCTTCAAGTGCGGCAACACCTCACATGAAAGGAAAAAAGACCATCTCCCGCACACAATGTGGTGTCCACATACTGAATTACCTTTTTTCAAGCATCTGAATATTGTTTAGGTAACATTTCTCATGTTTATTTTAATATGTGTGTTTATACAACGCAAAATCACAACATGCACAGCATGAGATGGTTTTGGGTAAAATTTATTGAAAAAAAGCCACTCCTATTATCGTAAGACTATTCGGGAACATGAAGGTGAGTCTTGGCAATTGTAGTAAAACATAACCAGTTACCGAGAACCATCCCGGCTGCGGCTGCTGCATTTCCGATGGAGGCGAAAATGTTGTAGGCCCGTGTGCTCAGATTTAGGTGCACGTTAAAGAACCCCAGGTGGTTGAAAATTCCGGAGCCCTCCACTACGGCGTCTCTCATAATCACATGGTCGTTTCGGGACGTTGAACCCCACATATCAATCAATCAGTTGCCGAGAACGCATCATAATTGCTCATTGAATGGACTTCAGTACGGAGTAACTGCGTTGTGCAAAGGTGTCGTGCGTAATGCATCGGGACGCACATCTTGCTTAAAATGAGGAATCTATGAAATTCTCACGTTGTTACTCTTTGAATAATCAAGTTTATTCGAGTGTTTGCCGTATTAAAGGCACAGATGCATGCGCGCCATGTTTGGGGGGACAGAATTTGCTGTCGTGAAGGCCCATTCGTCACCGTCACTTGTCATGTCGCGTGTTTTCGAGAACAGAAAATATCGCTTTTCGCTAGCGCGGAAGCCACCGTGATGATTTACGGCAACATGGCTGCACTCCCAATTAACGCTTCGGTCTTCATTTGCTCTCGGTGCTTGTTGCTCTCAATGCGTACTTAAAGGAATGCAAGGTATCGACCACCTGCTTACTTTGGACGCTCACGCGGAGAGGAGGACAGCGGCTGTATTTTGTCGTAAGTCTAGTTCTCGATGGTTTATTTTTATGTTTCTGTGGTAGCTTGTGACCAATTAGGTAGCTTGCTGCAATGTAAAATCGTCATGCGAAGTGCGTCGTAGCCATCGTAGCGTACAGTTCTGGGCGCCGTGTTGCGGTTAAACCAAAAATTGCACCACAGGAAGGTGGTTAAACGCTTTTGAGGCATTTTTATGCCACAGAAGACAGTGATAAATTGAACATGTTGTTAGCAACCTACTTTTTAACTTCTTTCCACAAATTATGGAAATCCATGCGATAATTTTTATTTTAGCAACAATTCAAGTTTTTCGCCTACTTGTGGATGATGCGGTAGCAACGGTACCACGAGACGGTGCAGCGGAGCACGTTTTTCGCTGTCGAATCATCTACATGTGGTTGTGCCCTATGCTCATATAAGTTAGGCCGGATTATTCAAAAAAATTCAAATATCAAATTGAGTATGGTTCTAATAAAGAAAATATTCTCCTAGTATTTGAAATTTCAAATGTTCACGCACCCCTTCGTTAAAGCAATAACGCACATTCACTTCGCAGTTTAGGGTCGCTCTTCCGCAGCTACACTAGACTTCTTCTTTCATATGAACGGGATAGAGAGTCCATGTTAGTCTTATAGAGCGAACAGAAATTTTCGACCATCTAAAAGGTATAGCCTGCAACAACCAAGTACTACACATTACTTCATTTTATTTAGACAACTGTAAATCGTCGACGACGGTCATGCCATCATTGCCTCAGCCGAGTTTTGTAGCATCGATTTGGTCAATGATAAGATGAGTTTTTTTTACTTATTTACTTACGAGGCCAGTCAGACATAACTTTGCATTGTTGGTCGAAATTTCTGGAGCCCTCCATTACGGCGTCTCTCATAATCATATGGTGGTTTTGGGACGTTAAACCCCACATATCAATCAATCAATCAACTTTGTATTGTTGTTGAACATTGCAGACTCAATCATTTTCATGAACCAAAATAGCGAACATTACCGAAATTTGGTCTCATAAATTCATAATAGTACTGCCTTGCCTGTAAGGTATGAAAAACTTTTTTGAGGCCCTTTAGAGTTTTTCATACGCCACATGTGTCTATTATTTTATTAACTTATGATATTCTTTTCTTCAGCTGCAGTGAACTCTTTATAGTTTCACAATGCACTCGGTTTGGCGATTTAGTGTGAACGTTTGCCGGCAGTAATTGTCCATTTGAGAACTGCAGGGTCTTTATGAAACGCATCATAAAGCTCTGTTTTTTATGTCAGTGCCTTTTTAAGAACATAGCATTTGCGTCCTACGCTTTCCGAATGACTGAGGTCACTTCATATTGCGTAAACTTATGCGCATCTACTTGACGAAATTCGTATCGACATAGGGACCAACCGCGTGAGTGTCCTTATGACTTAAACCCTAACCAAATCGCCATTTTTATATACACGTATTTGGTAATTTGGACGATTGCTTCGAAGAGAATGCGAGCCACATCAGTGTATATGTTGCACATGAACAAGTAGTGTACATGGAGGTGAAATGCACTTACGTCTCATGGCCCAGGGCTCTAGATCTTGGATGGCTCGCGTAAACTTCAGCAAGCCGAAGGTGCAGTCAGCAGATATGTCGGCTTGTAGCAGCTTTCGCGTCAGTTCACCTCCAGTTGTAGACATGAGCTCTTTCACCATGGCCTTGATGTCATCGAGAAACTTTGATCCTTTCGTTGCCTGCATCGTCGCTGGTGTAGCTGGCAATGCAGTGGGAAAAGCTTCCGCAGACTCTGTGAGCATAACGTCCATGAGGCTTCGAAACGTGGGTGCAGTTGTGGCATTCGTGGCAACATTTTCTTCTGTAATCATCAGTTCTTCAATTTCATTATTCGTAGGTTTTATAGTAGCTTCTGTATTTGCTGTAGCGGAAATCGGCATTTTGTCTTCGAATGAGCTTTCATTATTAATTTCTGACAGTTGAGATGTGCTCGAAATGTGGGAAGGCACTGCTGTGTCCCGTATTGTGGGCGATGTAGTATATGTAAACAGGTATGGTCTACCAACTTTCTCTGAAAAAGTACTCACTTGGGATGTCGTAAATGAGCTTGACGTGGTCACTTGTTCATTTGCGGAGATGTTGATTCGTGTCACAAAACTTGTAGATGCTGCACTTAGTTCACAAAACACTGGCAATAACAGGAGCAACACACCAGTAAAACAAAGTATATTCGCGTGTATTAATTTTGGTGACATTGCCCCTTCAGCTGTAAGTCCATGTGCACGTGATCAAAAGGTGTTCACTAATGATGAAATTGCCTTGTTCGTGGCTGATGCGCATCCATGCAGAAACAGCTACCCTAGAGCTAATAGCGTGGCTCACCTGGTTGTGTATTTCTGATTACTGCCTAGGAAATAACCCTTGCAAGCTAGGCCGCTTCAGCCACCACATGGTATAACTCATGAATGATTACACGCATGTCTCGAAACTGGCGTCATATAATCGAAATCGTTAAGGTGCAAAATCAGGAGTCTGTTTCAGCAGCCAATGTAATATGGCTCATGGCCAAAAATCCTAGCGCGTTGATGGTGCGTATAAAATTATCTAAGTTCTTTCGAAAGAGCCGGTGTTCTTTGCCAAGTGATCTCTACAGCTCGTGAATATTTATTATTACGACCACGATTTCAAAGTGGTCACGTGTTTCCCAAGATATACGTGCTTACTTTCGCAAGAAGAGATTCGCAAGTGCGAAGGTGAGCCATAGTTAACAATAGGAGTCGTTTCAGTTCGTACTAGCCAGTTGCGTGTGTGCTAAATAAAAAGGAAACTGCATCATTCCAATGTCATCTATGACGTCGTAGAAGAAATTTTATTGCGTTCTTTTTTCTTCCTCTACGTGCAATGGGTAGCTTATTATCACAATTCGCGGCTTTACCAAAACCTTATTTAGTTCATATGAGCATCTAGTTTAACGATGTTTCCGTCTTGCATGGGCTGATGGCGTAAAATATACACTGTGAACTGGCTCCTATGGTTGCATTGTAGTGAGACTGTTAGGTCTTTTTTTATGCATATTCTACCTCGTCATGTAAGATGACCTGCCATAGCATCATTTCGTAGAGACACCCTTCACGTAGCACCAAAGTTTGCTTTTTAAGCAAATTTGGGGGCATCTACGAGAACCGAGTAAACAAACCACTTGGGTTGAACAATAATGACCACTTTCACCTGGTAAAATGCAAGCCTGCAAAAATTCCTTCCTGCAACTTAGATAAAAAAATTATTCACGCTATAGCGTTAAAGAGCTCATTTCACAGAACTTCAGGCATGGGCATCAGTGTCGGCATCGGCCTCGGCGTCATCGGTTGTGACCAAAAAAATTATCTTTTGCGTGACTGGATAGTCGTGAAAAATGCACATAAAATAGGAATAATAAACTCCAGGTCTGAGTGAGGATCCAACTCGAGTGTTTGCACGGCAAGCAGGTGTTCTAACGCACGGTCATGCTTCTTTAATTATTTCGTAGCATTTATTGAAGTATGTGTTAAAATGAACATAAATCTGCACTAATAGTATGGAACGTAAGTAAAATCATGAGGCGACAATAAGCCCTCTAGCCATTATTGAAAGAACACTCGACCTTAAACGAGGTGCAGTAGAGCAACGAGAGTTCTTCAAATCGCGTGATACTCAAGAGGTGGTGAGACCACGCACCTCCCCAAGATGGGGTAGTAGTCAATTTTAAAACTTATTTCATCATAAATGTCTGTTAGTTGAACAGACATTCTACAAAAATGTGAGCTCAAAGAATTAATGAGCTCAGCTTTGAGGTCTTACATACGCGTTTTCCATAAGCTGTGCATACCCATGAGGGAAAACATATTGAACGACTCTCTATGAAGCGATAATGGCAAAAGACAACGCATAGAGTAAAAATTAATTACAAAAGTTTTCGTCGGAGTCCACTGAAGTACATAGCAGATGAAGATAGCATCTTTTAAAACTAACAAAGCAGTGCTCTGTCGTCTCCGCCTCTTCACATAGGTGGCAGTTAACACAAGGAACAAAATTAGCTTTTTCTTTTTAACCAAGCTTTCACGGGCAGCGTTTAAGTATGTAGTTTACAGAAGAATGTTTTTTTTGTTTGGAAATATACATATTTTGCAAACACGGTTCAGCTCATTATGACCTGAAAGATCGGAGTACAATGACCGGTACAATGGAGGTGTCAAAAGCATAAGTAGTAAAACCCTAAATGAAACATTCCGAAACACTATGTAGAAGTATTCTACAAAAAAGTGAACTTTAAAGAAACTTAATGCAGAACAAACTTCCTGCATGAATCCGCACAACTACACGCGCTCAAAAAAGTTGGAAGAAATAACTAAGTCAGACAAGCGATGAACCCGTGTAACCTGTAAAAATGAACGAGCTATGGCATAGTGATTGTGAAAGAAAAAAAAAAGCGGGAAGAAAAATAAAAAGCCATAAATAAAGATTTATAAACTGAAACCTTCGTCCATAACTGACCTGAATTTGTTTTAACGACGCATGGGCTCAAAAGTAGAGTACAATATAAAAGTTGCAAAAATCCGATGAACTTGTTGTACGTAATACGAAATACGTACTAGAGCTTTGTTGCTTGAAAAGCACCGCAGGTGTGACCTCTCCCTAATATAGATAGGCGATAGGAAACAAATGTCTGGGGTTGCCGTTCAAGCTTAGCAACAGGTTCCTTCCTGTAATGGGCACTGTATTTATACACATCGAACAGTACACCGAGGTATGCTGGTAAAGTTCTTGTCCAACTAATTTCTGCAAACTGAGTATTTGTACTACCCCACGAGCCAAACCATATTCATAATCTATTCTAAGAGTTCAAAGGAGCTCCTGATACAATGCGAAATTCGTCTATTGTAGATACTGCATTATCTACGCTTGGTTTATCTGTGTAAAAGTGCCCAGATTGTCTAGAGATGATTTATTTTGAGCCGCTGTACTTAAGTATATTCTGATTTAGTAGTACCCGTGGCTTCGATATGTTGGCAATGAAATTAAAGTTTAGCTTCTGCACGGCCACGTGTCTGCTTCAAAATGCACTGAAGATTGAAAAACACATGCTTCGCATTAGGACATGTACTTTATCAGTAATAAGGTCTGGTACAAGCGTATATTGCCATCGGGTGTCCGAATATGTGAATATGTTTTCTTTTTTTATTTACAAATACTGCAGGCACTACTCGGGCCCACGCAGGCACGAGAATATTTTGAAAAACAATACCAACAATATTATAATGACCTCATGGTTCCAAGCCGGCCTCCCATTGCAAAAGGCACACACGTTACTCCACCTATACCCTTAAGGTCATATTGTAGGTGAATAGCAAGTTAGACAAAATTTCACGAGAATAAATGCTTCTGATTGAAATAGAATGCGAAAGCTTCACCGACACAAGCCACTTTCCAATTTGTTGATCACATTTTAGTAATACACGAATAAACTTCTCGAGTAACATCGTTCAACCAAAAGTATGCGCTAAATGGTATAGGAGTGCCATTGGGGCAAGATATCAATATTGCGTTCAACTCTTAAAGGTGAAATTTAGGATTCCCCGAATTTTTCGTGGTGTCTTTTTAGGTCAAAGCATGCATCTGGTTCCCTGCACTTGCATTATATCTAAACTCACTATATCATTTTAACTTGGAGGTGGCATGGGTATACTAGGTGCGTGCGCAGGGAAGTTTACACCCTTAAGGATGTTTTCTCATACCTATAACTAATACGATTACAACCAAAAAAAAGAACAATTCTAAAATACACTTAGCATTGAAAAACAGAAAAGTGAAGACTGTGGTCAGGGACCATTTTGTTACATACGATTAGAAAGCGCACATGCAGGCATGCAACGCAGCACTGTAAAAACACCCTACACACAAAGCTCTTGAGCTGCACAACCATACAACGACAATTAGAAATACTTCGCCATGGTATCATGGGCCACCGTTTCTTGGCTAATGGGGATATCGTGTTCTGCATCATTAAAAAATAGGCGTTCTCAGAGCGCGCGTAAGATAATAATGTGCTAATTGGTATCCGAAAAACAGTCAGATATGCCAATTTAAAATTGCATAATATTCAACTGAAGGCACTTTGAAAGTTTCTATCTATCTATCTATCTATCTATCTATCTATCTATCTATCTATCTATCTATCTATCTATCTATCTATCTATCTATCTATCTATCTATCTATCTATCTATCTATCTATCTATCTATCTATCTATCTATCTATCTATCTATCTACGTATGGGTGCTCTTGGGATGATCTGTTTCACTTTGTATAAACTAAAGTTTGCCCAAAGGGACATGAGTTTGTGACGAACATGATGCACATAATCATATAGTGGTTTTGGGACGTTAAAACCCCACAAATCAATCAACGAACATGATGCATAGGTAACTGCATAAATAACGTGACCGGCCTGTCGCGTACGCCATGAAGCCCTTTCCTCGAATCATGTGATGCATATACACAGAACATGGCAGGTGGTGTACGGCTACGCGACCCTGGTGGTTCACTGTCTATATATATACTTTGGAAATCTTAAGAAGATGGTGTTAAACGGACTGTGTCACAAAAATCTCAATGGTGACATTGGCAACATTGTCCTTGAGTGAAAAATACCCTCTCCACAGCCCACAAATTAAAAAAAAAGAGTGGATGCAAAGCACAGAAAACACAGCTTGAGTCGGAATAGAACTTTTGTGTTTTTTTTTGCGTGGCAGTCAAATACTCTACTGCAGAGCCCCACCTGTGTCGGCGTACGAAAAAAAAAACATTCGAAAAGACATTCGATAAGTGTAACGTCAAAGCGATGCCACCAGTGGTGGCCATATTCCCTGTAGGCTTTAAAAACATTTTCACAAACAGGGAATATTTAAGGTATAGTCAATTGTTGCTCGTATACGCCGATGACATCAATGCTTATAATAAACATGTCAATGCACTATGGCCTGAACTGCTTTGCGATACAGTTCTTTGCTCTCTAATGTGAGTGCATCTGCTACGTTAGACCATTAGCCACCTTTTACATGCCACAGTAGCCAACGTCCTTGGCAAGTTTACGATATGCGCAAAATCACTACACTTGCTCAAAGTCGTCCCTGAACTTCGTAACGTTTTGTTCCAAGTAAAATTTGTGGCATATATAGGCTGATTTTCGTTGACTTCTTAGCATGGAATTTATTTCCACAATTCATGGGTTTTGTTGAATTCTGAATTCCTTAATACGCCAGTTTTAATTATCAGTTGCCTTTATTCTGGTGGTCTACATATACTTTGATGACCGCAAACACAATAAGTCCTTAAGGATGTTTAGGC